AGGAATGCCTCTCGTAGTGTTTCCATGGTCAACACTACACCCCGTGTACCAGACGGCATCAGGCAATGCCCCAGGTCTCCGGGCACAATGGCCACAAGGTCACAGGGAGAGATACCACCAAGTCAGCACACGTTACCCTACTGTAAATTACTTTCGCTTTAATTATCCTTTACAAAATGGGGGCACGTATGGATTTTTCAACATTACACGTGTGTGGGTTACATTACCTGTCAATTCATTTCAGGGTACTGGGCTTGATAGATTGGAGAACCACTGAGCTCAGGTGTTTGGGAAGCATCATTTCCTTAGGAAATCAGAGGGCATTTCTACTCCAGCCCCCCTTCCACAAATACACCTTGTAGGACTTACCACATTTTTGTACCTGTGGTTCAAAAGTCATCCGCAGAGTTTCTCCCCTAGGTGGATTCTCTAATGTCAAACAACACGGACGTGCCCACAGAAGGCTCTTCCACCCCAATAACGTGCACTGGGTTTTTCTCTTGCATGATTTCGTGGATGTCAAACAGGGCCAGTGCCCTGCCTGCCGGCTGCCCTGCCTTCGTCCCGGCCCCAGGGCTCTCACCCGTGGGCCCGATCTGGTGCCGCCCGAGGTGCGGGCTCTGGCCGCAGGGTTGCGGGCGCCGCCGGCCCCGGCCTCGGGGAGCCTCCCTGGTGTGCGTTATCTGGTGTCGGATGAGGTGCGAGCTCTGCGTGAAACACTTGCCGCACTGGCCACACCTGAAGGGCCTGTCGCTGCGGGGAGCCCCCTCCCCAGGGGTCAGGGGTTTCGGCCACGCCGGCGTGGGCTCGAAGGCCAGCCTCTGGCGGCAGTCGTAGGGGCCCTCGCCGGCGTGCTTGCGCTGGTGTTGAGCCAGGGACGAGCTGTGCCGGAAGCCCTTGCCGCAGCGGCTGCACTCGTAGGGTCTTTCGGCCGTGTGCGTCCTCAGATGCAGGAACAGGCACGTGGTGCGCGAGAAGGCCTTGCCGCACACGCTGCAGGTGAACGGCTTCTCCCCGGTGTGCGTGCGCCGGTGGCGGCCCAGGGACGAGTTCTGGTTGAAGGCCCGCCCGCAGTCCTGGCACGCATAGGGCTTCTCCCCGGTGTGGATCCTCCGGTGCACCGTGAGGTGTGTGCTGTGGCAGAACGACTTGCCGCAGTCCGCGCACTTGTAGGGCTTGTGGCCCGTGTGGATGCGCTCGTGCTGCACCAGCGACGAGTTCTGGCTGAAGGCCTTGCCGCACTCCTTGCACGCGTACGGCCGCTCACCCGTGTGGATCCTCCGGTGCACCGTGAGGTGCGCGTTGTGGTTGAAGGACTTGCCGCAGTCCGCGCACTTGTAGGGTTTGTCCGGCACTTGGCTGCGCGCAGGCTCGGGTTCTGGTTCCAGAGCCGCCTGACCAGAAGAGTTGCTGCGGTCACTGTTGTCATGCGGCTGTCTTCCCGAGGAGCCCATCTGCTCACCGACTGCACTCGGGTTCTGCTGCAAGCTTGTAACCCATGAGTCGGGAGCACACAAACACTCTGTCCTGGAAGTCTCCGGGAAGGGATTTGGGTTTGGACTCAGGACACAGTTTTCCCCAAGTCTGAGACTTCCGTGGCTTCCATCTTGAACCAGTGCTTCCTTCAGGCTGAATTCCAATTGCCTCAAATTACCCTGGTCCTTCTCGGGCCCCTGTATCCGGCTCTCATATTCCCAGTCTTCCCCCGGTGTAGCGGGACACGGAGCCTCCCCCAGGAAGCCTTCCCGTCCCTTCTCCTCAGGAAGGCCCTGCTCCTGGGGCGGTGCTCGGCCCTCAGGTCCACGCCCCCAGCCTGAAAGAAAACCCAAGAGCTGTGAGGGGCTAGTGGACACACCCTGGGCCTGTGACCTAACCTCTTGCCCCGCCTCCCAATTCTGCTCTCACATTGACTCCAGTGCCCTGTCTGTAAACACAGCTTCACTCATTCATCCCTTCAACAAAAACTTCTTGAGCGCCTGCCGTGGGCCAGATATTGGCCTAGATCAGGAGCTGGCCAACTACAGCCCCCAATGCTTTTTATGGTTTTAAAGGGCTGTAGGAAAAAAATATGTGACAGAGGTGGGCGGGATTCTGAAGCTGTCGGTGGCTGTTCAGGCAGTCATCCAGGTACTGCTATCAAGGGATTTTGCAGGTGACATTAAGTTTACTCATCAGCTGACCTTAAACCTCAAAATAGGGAGATGATGCTGGATTAGCTGACTGGGCCCAAAGCAATCCCCTCAAGCTTTAAAAGCAGAAGGAGGTAGAAGGCAGAGGCTGGCTGGGCAGGGGAAAGGAGCCAGGGAATGCGGGTGCCTCTCAAAGGTGAGAGAAGCTCTCGGCTGAGTCTGCAAGGAAACAGGAACTTCAGTCCTATGACCGCATGGAACTGGATCCTGCCTGTGTCTAGATGCGGATTCTTCCTGTGCCTCCCAGTAAGTCGGGCCCCCGACCCCCAGCCCGCCGACGCCTTGCCTTTGGCCTTGTGGGCCCCAGAGCAGATAAACCAGTCAGATCTGACAGAACTGGGAGATAATAAATGTATGTTGTCTTAAGCCGTGTTTGTAGCAATCTGTCTCAGCGGTGACAGTTGCCCGCAAAGCCTAAAATATCTACTGTCTGGTCCTAGATGCTGGGGACAATGCAGTGACCCTCTGGAGCTGCGGAGGCAGACACTGAACAAAGCGCAGAAGGAGCAGGCTTGGGTGGGGAACGAGTAGCTGAGTACAGAAGACCTAGGTGTGACAGGCCAGATCCCCAAGTGCAGGTGCCCTCTTGTCTGCGGACACCCTGGAGGAGCAGCATCTGGCTTGCAGATCCTCCAGAATTGCCCCTCACGCAGGCAAGGCGTGGAGTGGCGGTGGAGCAACTTGCCACACACCCCTACAGCAGCACACACCTATTCTCTGGAAGGCAGAGTCTAGAGCCAGATTTGGCAGGGCTGTGCCCCTTCTGGAGACCGCAGGAATGGGTTTCCTTGCTGTTTCCAGCGTCTAGAGGCACCCACGTTCCTTGGCCCTTGCCCTCGCCTCCAGAGCCAGCAGCGGAGTGCATGCCAATCCCTCTCTGATGTCACCTGTCCTCTTCCCGCCTCTCTCACTAGAGGACTGTTGTGACTGCAATGGGCTGGCCCAATAATCCAACAGACGGGCGCTGGGCATCAGGACATGGACATCCTTGGGGGCCAGGCTCCCTGCTCACCCCAGCCCTCTCCAACCTCCTCACCTGCTGCAATCCTGTCCACAGCACACTCTATGTGTTCATTCACTTAGGGTCCATCTCACCACACCAGAATGTCCACAGCCAGTTCCCAGAGCTGACAGGGAGCAGGTTCTCAAAAATACATGCTTCAGATGCGAGGCAATGAGGGAGCACTGGCCGGGGGACAGGTGCTGTAGGGGCCAAGCCTGACCAGGTAGCAGGCACTTGTCTCGCTCACCTCCAGCCCCCAAACTGGACTCCATGCACAGCACCCAGAGGGTACTTAACAAAAACACCAGCCAGTCCACAAGGACAAAAACACCAGCCAGTCCACAAGGACAAAAACACCAGCCAGTCCACAAGGACAAAACTCTACAGGAATGTTTATAGCAGCACTTTTCACAAGAGCCAAAAAGTGGCAACAACCCAAATGTCCATAAGTGTGGTCCATCCATATAATGGGATATGACTCAGCCATGGAAAGGAATGAGGTACTGATATACACTACCACATGACTGAACCCTGAAAACAAGATGTTCACTGAAGGAAGCTAGACACATACAAACTATTAGGTGTTAAAATAAGCTACAAGGATATATTGTATTGATACGACACAGGGAATTTAGCCAATATTTTATAATAACTGTAAGTGGGGTACAGCCTTTAAAAATTGTGAACCAGTATATTGTACACCTGTAGCTTATACAATATCATACATCAAATATACTTCGATAAAAAAATAAAAAATAAAAAAAACAAACAGAAAAAAAGAAAAAGCTGGACACCAAGGGCCACATATTGTAAGATTCCATTTAAATGGAATCCAGAATATGCAAATCCATGGACAGAAAGTGGATTAGTGGTTGCCGGGGGCTGGGAGGGATGAGGCGATAGAGTGACTGCCTTTGATATTGTCATTTAATAAGAAATATGTATTTGGTCTTCATCTCTGGTCCCCGGCACACAGCTCCTAAAAGGCTTGGGATTTCCTTAGTGAGAGGGGTCAGGAGTGTCTTTTGTTAATTGTAATAAGTCCCCCTCAACCATATGAGTTCATGCTAACGAGGTGACTCGTGGTGGGCCTCTGGACAGCTTCAGGGGGAGCTTCAGCCCCTCTCCCCTGACATCTGTCTGTTCATTTGTATCTTTTATATTATCATTTACAAAAAACAGTAAATGTAAACAGTGTTTCCCTGAGGTCTGTGAGCTGTTACAGTACATTACTGAACCTGAGGGGGCTGTGGGAACTCCTGATTTATAGCCAGTTGGTCAGAAGTATGGGAGGCCCTGACTTGTGGCCAGTGTCTGAAGTGGGGGTAGCCTTATGGGACTGAGTCCTTAAGCCGTGGGGTCTGCACCAGCTCCACGGAGACAGCGTCAGAATTGGACTGAATCGTTGGGACACGCGACTAGTGTCTGGAGGGGTGGAGAATTGGCTGTTGATGTGGAAACCCCACACGTTTGGTGTCAGGAGTATTCTGTGGGTAAAAACAAACCATGGTACTGCTAATGGACAACTTCTGGGCAGCAGAAATGTTCTGGAACTAGACGCTGCTAATGGATGCACAACCTGTGAATACACTCAAAACCACAGAATCGTACACCTTACATGGATGAATTTTATGGCATGCTTGGGACCTGGCAGCTGGAAGGGGGCTGGCCTGATGGGAGTTAGTTCAGGGCCTGGGGGTGAAGGCCAGCATTTGGGGCTGGAAGATGTCAGACAGGCTCCGTGGCCTCAGAGGAGACAGGGTACTTGTTAGTCCTGCCCCCGGGTGATGGGCCACACCCTATTGTGGAGGTACCGGGGCTTCCCTACAGATGGTGTCAGAGGCTTTCAGGTGGGAGGCTGGGCTGCAGGTACAGCTGGTTACGTATCCCGTGGCCAGAGCCCACTTCTTTCAGAAAGTAGTCAGGGTACCAATGCACCAGCCCCACGGAAGGGATGGATAAGCCAGTGATGACAATCTAGACTCCCTCCTTCCAGCTTCCTTAGCAGCTGGGGTGACCCCCTCCTGACCAAGGAGACCTCAATGGACAACATCTGGAATTCTGATAAAAGGGGATAAATGTGATTGGCGCCATTCTTCCCAGCTCCTCCTGCCCCTGTCTGGAGCACAGATGTGACGGCCAAAGCTGCTGCAGCCACGCTGAGCCCCAAGGAAAGGCCAGGAGAATCAGAACCATCAGCCATGGCATTC